TGGGAGGGGTGGGGGGTCAACCTAAGATACGCAACTTCAGCTACGAGAATAGCGTAGCTGAAGTCAACGTATCTTAGTTTGACTCACTTCGCGTCCTCACGGCATGGGATCAACGGCCGCTGCTCCCCCGTCGACTTCGCTTCCGCCTCTCGCCGAACTGGAGTACAGGAGTTGACGGGAGAGCGATCGGGAATTGATTTATCGCATCTACACTACACGCAATAAATCGATCCCCGATAGATAGATCGCTACCCGCCGATCCGGCGGGTAGTGTAGACATAGCCTAAGGGAAGGGAGGAGCCAGAGAAGCAGAATAAGGACAATGGACTTCAAAAAAGCAGCCGTCAGCAGACTCGGAGAACTGGTAGGTGGCGTCCCATGGGAAGGAAATTTCAGGGAAAAGGGAGTTGGGGGGGAGGGGCAGTTTCTAAAACAGCAAACTCTCCCACTGCGAAGGAAAGGTAGGAAGATGTGTAAAAGACCAGTCTGGCTCCATCAGGAGCCCTTTAGTGACCTGAAAATCAAAAAGGAATCACACCAGAAGTAGAAACAAAGCCAAATTGCCAAGGAGACGTACAAAAAAACAGCACAGGGAGGTAGGGACAAAAATCAGAAAGGCTGCGGCACAAATGAGTTACACCTAGGAAGAGGAAAACGAAGGAACGTGTAGGTCCGTTACTTAGCGGGGAAGGAGAGCTCTGAACAGATGACCCAGAGAAGGCTGAGGGGTTTAATGTCTTTTTGCTTCAGTCTTCACTAAAACAATTAACTGTGAACAGATGCTTAGTACAATTAATATTAACACGGCGGCAGGATAGAGAAGGAACGGTCAAAACAATACTTGGTGTGCTCAGTTGGCAGGGCCTGATGGCTTTCGCCCTAGAGTACCGAAGGAGCGAGCTGAAGCAGTCTCGGAACCATTGTTAATGACTATATTCGAGAACTCCGGGAAGATGGGTGAGGTCCCAGAGGACCGGAGGAAGGCAAACATTGTGCCCATCTTCACAAAGGGGAAGGACCCAGGGAGTTATCAACTAGTCAGACTAATAATTTGTACCAGTTTCTTTTGAGGTATTGAATAATCAGTCTGTGAGCACCTAGAGGTTAATAGGGTAATAAGGAGCATGGATTAGTCAAGAACAAATCATTACAGAACAAACCTAATTTCGTTCTTTGACCGGGTAACTAGGTTAGTGGATGGGGGAAGCAGCAGATGCGCGATATGTCTGGACTCTATAAACACTGTTGATGCTGTCCCAGGTACAGTCTCATAAGCAGACCAGGGAAATCTGGTCTAGGTGAAATTACTATAAGGTGGGTTCACAAATGATTGAAAGACTGTCCTCAAAGAGCAGTGTAGGAACAGTCGGACAATGGAACAGACGCCTAGGGAGGGTTTTCACTGGAGGTTTTCAAAAGGAGGGTGGAGTCATCTGTCTTGGGATGAGTTAGAAACAAC